CTTAATTATAACCAAAACTCTTCACTAATTTCAGCCATTTTTAACACTCAAGTTAACACACAAATTAAAAAGTCCCAACTACTGAGAAGTATATTTGAAAAAAAATGCACTGTGTATTGTCTTAAAATTGTTATTTTTTCCAGAATTAATCATAAAACTGACATAAAAAGCAGAACGATGAACCTTTTCTTTATCGCCCACTGAAAACAGGCCTGAGGCCCACATTTGGGGCCACGACCCACCAGTTGAAAGTCACTAACTTGTAGAATCTGATGGCTTTTGGTTTTTAGTTAATTTAAAGCTTTGCATTAATAAAATTTGCCAAAGGTTTCTGATTGAACGCTCAGCTGTAAACGTTGACGGCAACACGAAGTCTGGCCAAACATTGGCTCATCACTAACATCTAAATACTTCTTTGTATTTTTGGGATCCTCCGTCTCCTAACTGTTTCACCATTTGTTGCTCTCAGCACTCCTCGCCGAGCTCGTGTCGCCTGACTGCTCCACATGCACGCACGACTCTTAATTTACTGGTCATCGGGGTCTCTTCCTCTCCATGTGCCTCCTCCTTGTTTGTGTCTGTCCCCCCGCTGTCTCCCCACTCATCTCTCTTATAGCTATTTATTTCCCGTCCCATAGGAGACRGTCTGCGCACAAAGGCAGCACTGTGCCCCGAGGCTGTTTTAGAATAGAAACTCAGTCTGTTGGAAATGGAAATGCTATGATTGACTGGGCACAGCGAGGGATGCCAGTGACACGCACRAGCCGTCTGCAGGAAAGATGGAGAAATCTTAATGAAATATGGAAATGAATTACGCTATCTGGACTTTAACGAGGGGAGATTTTCAACTCGTCCATGTCGTCTGCGCCAAAGCAACTGGAAGAAGTTGATAAGATGTTTGGTTTATTTTGAGCTGAATGATGCCAGCTAGTCATTGCAATAAAAAATCCCAGTCCGTCTGTCTGTCTGTCCATTTGTCAGCGACTCCCGTTTCCCTGCCGCCATCCTCAAACCTCTTTTCATTGCAGCGGGATTTTTAGGGTTTTAAGTTCCAAACCGTTGTTCCGCTCTAAAAAGAGAATTTGTTGTGAAGAGTGAGATGGGTTTTAATGGCATATCTGAGGTTGAAATAATGTGTTGTTGCAGGAGTAGGACAGTGCCAGGCTCTAATGGGTGGTTTTTGAAGGAATCCAGTCTTGTCGTTTTGCATTTATTTGCCCATTAAAGTGTCTGAAAAAGTCTGCAGAAATATCCAGAAGTTGGAGAAGTGTAACCGAGCTGCTCCGTCAGGATGTTATTAATACGTTTAACTAAAGCTGTTTTTTATTATCTCCYGCCACCGAACAGCTCAGGGCGGGCAATGCTGTTTCTGCCTGTGTCAGTTTTTACAATCACATATTGTGTGAATGCTTATCAAGCATTCTCTATTAGGATCAGTTTTTTTTTCTTCAATACATTATTTTTTCATCTTGTGCTGCAATTTTGGTGCTCTTTCATCAATCTATTCAGACTTTTTGTATTTAAGCAATTTATACCTTTTTAAGTATTTAGCTTTGTCAGCCATTTTTTCATCAAAAATAAAAAAATGTCTTCAACACTTAAAATCC